CCCAAAACCCCAAAACCCCAAAACCCCAAAACCCCGGCTTGGCTTCGAGAAGTTGAAAATCTATGGAAGGTCTTCATTTCTGATCTTAAGAAGCTTATCTCTGAGTTCCTGTCTTTCTTTAGCCAGTGTCTTCTTCCCCTTAATAGCCATGTCCTTCAGCCCAAAACTTTGATCCAACGAAGAGAGCCTTTTGGCTCTCTTCGTCATTCGATCTGAAAAGTTTAGGTTGGGAATATTAACCCTTGCCTTCTTTTTGGAAGATAAACGATGTGAAGTAAGAATACGCTTTGAATCTTCTGAAAGTCGAGGAGAGATTCTTAAGCTATGATTTTGTCGATTGGAAAATCCACGATTAGTGCCTGGATGGATTTGGGAGTCCAATCCTGTCTGGATTGTGTTACCTAGCCAATCTTCACGACTAGGTCTCATCTTTTTAGCTTTAGAGAGAATCTTGAGTGGCAGCACCGATTGGTTTGAAATTTCAAGTGTTTTAGGGTGCTTTGCAAGAGAGGAGTGTATTTGACGTATTTCTATTATTCCTCCATTATCTTCACTCAGTTCAAGATCTTCAAAGGGTTGCTGTTTGTGTCCCTTCTTGCTCTTACCTCCTGTGATCCAATGAAATACTGTAATTGCTTGCCGTAATATATACTTGAACTGAGCTATCACGCTTTGATCAAGATGCTTATTTGCTTTCAGGTGTAGTCTTATCATCTCTATCAATATCACTATCATATGCTCTGCTTGTTTCTCCTTTGTTTGGAATTTCTTATCATTTTTGCTGATTTCATTCTTATCAGCTTTACTATTGTCAAGGTTAATGATATCACTATGATCAGCTTTTGCTGAAAGAAGTCTGCTAAACCTCATCAGGTTTGATGGTGTTTTTGTCCAAGAACTCTTGTGTTCTTACTCTCAAGGCCTTCTCCATATCATTGATTCTCTGCTTGAAATCTATAGGATAAGGAAAGATTTACCTCTGTGAGATTTATCAAGCTTATTGTTTGTCAGATATTGGACCTCTTTTATGTAATTCTTATTCTCATTTGTTTTAATATTCAACTGGTTCATCAAATCAGATAAATCTGTCTTGAGCGAGTAATCCTCAAGTTTTATCTCAAGCTGTTCAACAGAGAATTTAGAGGCTTTTTCAAGCAGGACTTCATCAAACCGAGCAATTATGTCCTTCTGGCGCTTATTATCAGCTCGATATTCCTCCAAACTCCGTCTTCATTGAGTTACAAGTGGCTCAATCTGATTAGCATGATCCTGTAGGTCTTGGAACTTACAGCAATCATCAATTTTCTTAAGTCTGTTATTAATCATCTTAGTTCTGGCATCAAATTGACCTTTTTGAATGAAGCTTTTACTGTTTTCTTTAATTTGTTCAATTCTCTCGTTAAACTCATAGAGGCGGTCAAGCTCATTCTTCAAATCTCTTTTAACTTTATTTAATCTTGGACTCTATTATAGTAATAGTTTGGGACACAGAGTCTCGAGTGGCAAGATCAGAGATGACCTCTTTGAGTTCATTGGAGAGAGACTCTACTTGGTTCTTGACATAGTCAACTTTTGCCCTTTCCTCTAAATCTTCCTTGATGTTTTCAACCTTGGCATTGAGTTCGAGCATTGAGTCTATTTTTACGAATTTTAGGGGGATTTCGCATAATTGCTTGTTCATTTCGATAACTTCTGAGGTCGAAGCTTTTGTAGCGAGTTCGTCTACTAGAAAGCTCACATCATTTCTGGAAGCAGTTTTTTCCATCTGATTTCGCAAGGAAAGGATGCTAGATTTGGTAGTTATAGTTATGAGGGATGCAATTTGAAGGATTACAAGTTTTTTTTCTGAGATAGTTATGAACGAAGATGAAGCTTTTGAATATTTAAAAATAATCTAATTTGATGCTTTGAAGGATAACAAAGAATCAAATCCACTCTTTATTGCACATTCCTTTTCTCTAAACATGGCAAGCGAGACCATTGCCATTGAGTTTGATTTTGAAAGATTAGTTTTAAAATGGTATGAAATTTTTATATAAACCAAAAGATATTTACCTTATACCTCATTATCGTTAGTCGTAGATTCCATCTTGTTGAGTCTAAGTAGAGCAGCATCTATCGTACTCTGCATTTTAAACAAGTTGTTGCCAACCTTGGTAAGAGTGTCTGAATCAGGTAGACTTTTTAAAGTTTTATCATATTCATATCTCTCAATAAAAGTTTTCATGAGAACTCTTATCAAAGTTTGCAGCAAGGTATCTCCCGTATATCTATCTTCATTCAATTCCTTCACAAACTTGCTAATCTCTTGCACCACATCTTTTCCTAAAATACCTGCTTCTTCAGTCTGTTCCATTTAAATTTTCAATTTTTATTTCATTCAAAGGGGTTTTGGGGTTTTGGGGTTTTGGGGTTTTGGGGTTTTGGGG